GCACAGTTTCAATAAAAAAAAGGAATTCTGGCTGGCTAGGGAATTCTGGGAGTTGAAGTCCACTCATCTTAAAGTGGCCAAGTTTGGACAACACTGCTTTAGAGGAAAGACTGAAGAGGAAGAAATGTCTCAGAAGATAATTTCTTCCTCTTCAGTACAAATTCATTGGCTACAAAATGCTGACTCATAAAGAGTGCTAGGTGATCCCTAAGTATAGAGACAATTTATGACCAAATAGCATTTACTGGAGAAAATGAGTAGGAGGGAGCTATTGCCTTAAAGCTCGGTTTCTTTGAAGTTATTTGGGAACCCCTGGCTAGTCACTGTGACTGTTAATATGCTGAACTGAATGGAGCATTGTTCTGATGCAGCAGCATTCTAGTCTTCCAATTTTATTGAACTATTAATTTTATATAAGAAAATTATACTCTGGATTTCCAGAATCTTCCCAAATGGAGCGGCATAGAAGCCAAATAAAGTAAAATAACTGTAGTCTCAGCTATCACTGAACAGCCATGCAACGTTCCTCAGACTTTCAAGATGAAGAGAATGATCATATAGTGGTACTTAACCTATTGAAGCTTATGCGACTGTGATGCAGATATGATCTAGTGAACAAACTGTTCTGTATGCTGGTAAAAGATTTGTATTCTAGCATTGTCTTACCTGCTTCCCTTTTATAAAGAAGCAAATTACATTTGTCCATTGAAAAGCCTATATATGCTGCATTATTATTATTGCTGCATTATCATATTATTATTGTTATTGTTGTAATTATTGCCAAATAATAAAACACATATGCCCATATGAATTGAAATAACCAGCAAAATTTTACATGCCTTCTAATGAAGGAAGCTCATATCCCAAATTATTTATGAATATATTGGAACTAAGGGCAGCAGTAAATTTATTTTTGATATACAAAAGGGATGGTTGGATAGATGAATAATTTTAATGTATATTGATACTATCTTTGTGATGGGTAGGTTTAAAAAGCAACATTTTGAAAGTTGTGAAACTGTTTTATTTTCTCACAGTTCTTAGCAGAACTTAGAAGGTTATTGTTCCATGGGTTACAGAAAAGGGAAAATGCACTGATTTATTCCCTGGAACTGCTTTAGCTTCTTACATTTTAGATCTTGCATCTGTTCTTAATTAACTTTATAAACACTTGAAGGCAATCGAAGTTCACAATCCAACATGATCCTTGATCATAAAATATGTTTAAACAGTAGAGATAGTGCTAATGAGCTGTATCCAAGTTTGTCAACTGCATTTTAGTATATGCAAGGAAACCCTAATAAATAGATGAAATTTTGAATGACTGACCTTGTTAAATAATTCTAGCTATGCTATGAGATTAAGAGTACATTGTTATCTGAACGACGAATGTTTGTTATTTAAGCAGAAATATGTTAATGTTGGCTAAAAATAATTGTTCTCCAAATAAATGGAAGCATGTTTATAAGATGATTATAACTTTGTAAGATTTTAGTTTCATGTCAGCTTCTTTTCCAGGGTCTCTCCTAGAAGAAAAAAAAAATGGAATTAGTATTAGAGTAACATTTACTGTGCACGCTTTCATAGGAATCAGTCTAAAACCATTTCTCAGGAAACAAAATATGTGGAAAGGTCTAAAGATCACTTTAACATTACAGAGCTGTACGTTCCATGGGGATGATAGATGACTGATTTCAGCCTAATGCTTCTAATGTGTATGCCTGAAAAGGGATTGTTTAAAGTCACTCTTACACAGAAGTGACATTGGAAATACCTGTATTGTGTTTTTCATATACTTATGATCCTGCAGGATGGGTTTCCCAGCAGTATTCTATATTTTACTCAGTGCTGACTTGTCATGAACCTGGTAATCTGCTATCAGGAGGCTATGTCCAACAACGCAATACATGTTATATGTCTACATTTATCAGTTTCCCTTTACCTCCAGCCATATTTAACTAGAAAGGATTATGCAGTTGCTACAAATGCAGTCACATTTTCTACTTGCTGTTTTTTAATCTGTAAAATTCTGTAGCCATCACACTTAAAAAACTGGCATTTGGCTGGTATGGTTGACAGCCAGAATAAATGTGAAAGAGAAATTATGAAAATATCAAAGCCTTTTAGAACTAACATTCTGTTTTACTTTCACATTCTGTCTGGCTCTGAATTAGAAAGAGTTGTACATTCTTATATGATTCTTCTTTCTAAGAATCCGTTTTTTAAACACTTGTCCTATAATTTCCCAGACTAAACCTCCTTTTTTAATTAACCTTTCTCTGACTAGGGGAATGATAATACACAGTCATGCGAAATCCATAACATGAATTTGTATTTCTGCCTGCTCCATGCAGCTGGAGTGGAAGTATGAGGCCGCATCCATTTGCAAGAAGCAGAAGAGGCCCAGTGCTCATTCTAAAATAATTGTGCAGGCTTAGTGCCAGGACCCACTGTGATGTCCAGGAAAATAAGCCCAGCAAGAGTCACCCTTGGAAGAGGGGAAAGGTAGGACTAGGCAAGAGCACCTCAACCTTGCTAGGTTGCCTTGGGTGGCACTCAGAACAGGTTGGAAGAACCTTATGATTCAAATAAATTTGCAAGAAGATAATAATTTTAGAGACTCAGTGTTTGTGTGAGCAGTTGTAGAAGCATAAATGTAATTCATGATCCACAATTCATACAGAGATCGTAAACCCTTTCATTTAAAGAAAATATTTTGGAGAATAGCCCTTTTTCTTATGTTTTGTAGGTGATAAAGAAAAGCACTACAATTATTGAGGCCAGTAATTGCTGTTTTTCCATCTGCAGAGGAAAGCAGGTTATGTCTTCAAAATTGTATACATGCAGCATACTCTGCCAACAAATATGGAAATGATTGGAAAAGGTCTATCTATGTCCCAATCTCTAAAAAGGGAGATTGAAAACAATATTCTAACTACAGGGGACAATAGCCCTAATACCACATGCCAGCATACTGATACAGTTGAAAACCTTTCAGAAGAGATTAGAATATTATATGGAGAAAAAAGTAATAATTCAAAAGG